GATCGGCAAATGATCGGCAAATGATCGGCAAAATGATCAACAAATGTGATAATATGAAGTATGTCCACCCTGCTATTATATATATAATATTCAATGCTTTACAATTGTAAAATACAAATGTTATTATTGTTTTGAAAATTTTTCTGAAGCAATTAAAAAACTTTTACAATTATATAATGAATGATTAAATCTTAATGTTAAAGAAAATGATGATATTAAAAATAAAACTGATTTTACACAATCGGAGTAAAACATATTTATTTATTTAAATTTGTAATTTAAATAACTTTATTTATTTATTTTATAGAATTTAATCTACTTTACTATTAATATAATGCTTGATATTACAACTATTATATAGGCGTAAATTTTAGATAATAATAAGTTTTGAATTACTGTTAATTATGATGTGATATATTCATAATGAATTGCAATAAATTATTTTGAAATTGCTTTATAAAATAATAAAAAATAGATTATAAATGAAAATATTAATATAAAATTGACGATTTTGATTAGTTAATAATTGATGTCGATCAATCCATATAATTAACCATGCTTGCTATTACAGTCGACTCAAAAATAAAATTTTATCCCTCGGAACGCCACATTTTCTTCATAGTCGCTTAGGAAAGTAAATATTTATTTAATGTATACTGTGATATTATGGACTTTCAGCAATATCCTACGTCTGATTGTGCACCACCGCTACTTGCGACCCCTTTCGGCTTTTGATTTTATTTTATAGATGTCAAAAAATGGATCTATTAAAACAAATAAATAACTACTTTAATAAGAACAATTATGCTAAATGCACTGGATGTTTGCGCGAGATCATGCACGTCTGCCATTATCAATGAAGTCGCAATTGCTATAAAAGATTCGATCAAGAATCGTCGCAAGTCAGATGCATTGTTTGTAAATGGAAAGCTGAAACTAGAAAGTCTCGAATCTAATTTTGATGACACTTGGAGACGATCTGAAATTTACCAGTATTTCAATCATTTGGACCTTTCTCATGCAAATGTGAGTATCATCCCATTTGATATCAGCAGTCTGGATCTACTGAGTTATAGCTATCTATAATAGAGAGTATACGAGACACGGGCGATGACAAATGCTGTCAAGTATAAAACCGTACTAAGTGAAGTTTATACACAAGACTTTGGAAATGTAAGCTTATTTCAATGTGCACTTACTGTAACTGATGATTAGATAATTTTTTTTTTTTCGTTTTCTTTACGTTATTTGAAAGTCATATAACAAAAAACGTCAACCACTCGAAAATGATAGAGGATCAAAACATAGGAAAATAATTCGCAATCGGGTTCTGGATCGGATGATGAAGACACAGATGAAGAAACAGAGGACGAAACAGAGGATGACACAGAGGATGGTAAATATGAGGATGAAACTCCAATAACTACAGTACTTCTGTCCGATCAATCAAAATGATGACACTGTTAGAGACATATATAAGAAAGATTTTGACGATATGGATAGAACGCAATTGTGGACATTGAGAACTGTAGAAAAGATAATCTTCGACTTTGGTATACAATGTAATCATGAACATTTGGTCCATTCTTGGACAATTGATGTGGAAGACCATCAGATCCAAAATTTGTTTAATAGTCTCGAATGGAATGAAATTCTAAAAGTCCATAACAAACGTAAAGTTATTCCACAAGATCTGTCGGAATATTTCAATTCATTCCGGAAAAAGAACTCAGACAGGCGCTATATACTAAACAAGCTTGGCAAGAAAGCTACAATCCAGAAATCCACTTCGATTTTGAGTGGGTATATTTCTATATTCTAAGTCTCATCAAGGAATATAATGCAGATACTTTCAAAAGACCTCATGTTAGAGATATGGTACTTCGTCCACTGTTGGTCAATAATAGATAAATGTCTTTTGAATTTAAAGGATTTAATGGCAGTACGTGGCGAGATGTCTTTAGCTAGCAGCAACAGAAAAAACAATGGTCGCTGCAGTTTCAAAAACACCAAGGAAGCGTAGAGGTTATAACCGACCCAAAAATTCTTAACCGGTTAATAATCGGTTAAAAAATTCTTTAACCGGTTAATTAACGGTTAACTTTGGCAAAACTAGTGAAATTTTGTAATCGCAAAAAAAAATTTAATTCTGCCCGAAATTAAATTTCGGCCAGAGTTAATATTAGATATTTTAACCGGTTAACAAGATAAACGTCTTAACCGGTTAATTGACAGGTTAAAAATTAAACTGGTTCCAACGTGTATTGGCCGAAAAGGCTTTAGTGTTAAGAAAATCGTACATAGGAGGTGGATGAAGCTGTCAAAAATGCTACGAGTCATGCTTAGCTAATTTATGAATCATCCAATAATGATAAAAAAATTCGTAAGTTGGAAGTAATTGGATATGTGTTTTCTAAGTTAAAATTTCAATTGCTTCGTGCAGATCTTTCGCTGGATACATATGTCGAATAAGACGCAAACCAATGGAAGAATTTGCTGATGATGACCCAACTTTTATAAAACACTAAGATCAATGGCTCTGATTTGGAAAAGCAAGTCAATAATAATGACGACGATTGAGATTTTGGAAAGCAGTGATAACAACAACCCGGAAGATTTACAGACAGTGGGAATAAAGACACTCAACGTTTACCTATCCAAAATCCTCAAACACACCTCAAAATAAGAAACCTCAAAGTAGCTAGAACATATAATAAGGATGATGAATAAACCTTACCACTGCTTTCTCCCTTAGTTCAGTTTATTGCTTTGATTTTAGCATAAAAAAAAGAATAGCTTGCTTGTATTTTATTTTCTTGTACCTGTCACCCATTCTTGTATTATATGTAACCATGTATTGGTTTAGCTGACCGCTCAATACCTCATTAATAAAGATTATGTTTTGAATTAATGTTTTTATTTCCGTTGCAATTCATTGCTTCATTGCTTCATTGCTTTATTGAGATTAAAGTAAATAGAAGTTTGTACGCATCGGGTTATAATTGCTGGGAATGTCCGAGATGATTATTGTACGTGCAACATAAATTTTCACACATTTACATGAATTGGTTGTGGTTGTGCATTTGGAATTGATTTCTGAGGCGAGCATCCATATAAGAACCGGTGAAAAAGTTTCTCAAAATGATCACTAGTTTGTCTTTCCCACAGCCAAGAAATTTGTACATGTCACAGATAAAGTAGCAGATGATTGTCAATACATTTTATAGTAATCTGCTGTAATCCTTTGAAGACATGAACCCCGAAGAGAAGTCGCCAAAGTCTCACTTCAGAATTATACCTTGATGTCATTGTAGAAAAGACAAATCGCTAATGATGGCATCTCTATTGTATGTACCATTCAATCGTACGATTCCATCTGATGCATTGAACCTCGCCCTTAATCAACTCTAAATATAGATAAAGTATAGTTTGAAGGAAATCATAGAACATTCGAATTTTATAAGTCGAATTCTATCTACGTAAATTTCCCATTTTTCGTTCCTTCCAAACAAAGAATATCTTGAAGAAAAAGGAACTCTTGATCAATATGACTTTAGCACCCTTGGCTGTTCTCTTATAGCAACTACAAAAGATTCATGTTGTGCAAAGTTACCATGCGTATTGCGAAAGCCTTTCAGACAATTTTGCCTTTAACGTGGTTCATGACCTATAGATGGCATTTATTACGCTTGGATGTCGGGTACTTCCTTGGATCGATTTCGTTTTGGAGAAGCGTTTGTTGTAATTCCAGATATCAACGCATTTGGGCTACAATAAAGAAGTTTATTTTCAACTCTTCATTATGCTTGTGTATCTTCATTAATGCTGATCTTGAGATAATTTCAACCTGACAAGGAAGTCTCAGAGAATTTTCATACAATCATATTGTAATATTTATACATTAATTCAAAAGGCTGCAATTCTCTTAATGGTGCTATGTAAAAGAGTCCCTCAAGCCAAAAAAATCGAAGAAATTATTAATGAGACACAATATAAAGACTCAAACGCAGTAACTCTGAATATTATCGATACAATTACTGTAACTGACGCAATTATAAGTGAAATTGACGTCTGTGGTCGTTGATTTCTATTTGCGTCCAGAAATCTCACATTTGAAAGGGATTCGAAAGACATACGAATAGTCAAAACAACTTGAAAATTAAATTTGTTCTTGAAGCATTACGAGATACTGTAATTCTACATTTATGGCTGATATGCTATCGAATCGATCGTTGATAGCGGATCTGAGTGTCAGAAACTTTTTTTCTTTGAATCCGCTCATATGAGCCATTAAGTCTTCCCTGCCAGATAAGATTAACCAACCGCGTCGTCTATCTGATTTAACTTTTTCCATAGATGTTTTGTGAAAACAGCCAATTTTATTGCCCTCCGACAATTGCCATGACCATTATAAAAAGATCATAAATCTTCAATGCGCGCTTCTGGTCAGATCGATTAAGTTAAAGATGGTGCTTCTGCTTCATTTACAGGCTGTATCTGAATTTGATTAATCATGTTAATATTTCCGTTATATAAAACTTTGAAACCATTAAGTTTATACTAACCTTTCTTTGAACGGTTTGTTTGTTTGTTTCGGAAATATTTATTTGGTTTAGCTAATATAGTCACATTATTAATATAATTATCAATAAAAATCGTCAATTTTTTATTTAAAAATTATTATGTAATATCAATCACAATAAACCTATATTAAATTGAAGGTATAGAATAGATTTAATTAATCGCAGAGCTTTAAATCTATTTTATCAATTCTAATAAGACTTTCGTCTTCGATTAATCATGTATTTTTTTTTTGTTTAGGATTTTTGAAAATCAATATGGCCAAACACAAAAAAATAAAAATAAAAATAAAAATGGAATTTATATTAGCATTTCTTCTATAATCTAATAATTCTAAATACCTTATTATATACTACTGTATGTAAAGGCGCAACGCAACAGATAGTTTGATATTTATTAT